TGTGTGTGTGTGTGTGTGTGTGTGTGTTAGTGTGTGTGTGTGTGTGTGTGTGTGTGTGTGTGTGTGTGTGTGTGTGTGTGTGTGTGTGTGTGTGTGTGTTCAAGTGTGTGAGTGTGTGTACGAGAATGTGACTGTGCATGTGTGATGCATGACGTCATCACCCAACAGCACCCGGCTGCCGCGTGTCAGCTCATGCGTCAATCAGCTGGCGCCGCACCACCCGTGCTTTTCAGTGTGCGTCCCGCGCGGGCGCTCGCCCTGGCCCTCACCCTAATATCCTCAACCTCCAGAGCCAGCTGCGCCGCCAGCTTCTCCTGAACCGCCGCCATCGCAAACCCGTCCCCCGCCGCGGCCTCCGCCTCGGCCTCGCCGCCCCGCGCGCCGGCCCGCCGCAGCGCCGCCGCCGCGTGCTGCTGCGCCCTGGTCAGCGCGGCGTCCTTGTCGGCGAGCTCCTCCCGCAGCAGCTCCACCACGGCCAGGGCCGCCTCGCGCTCCTCCAGAGCTGAGATGGCCTCGGGGACCAACACCTGGGAGGGGGGGGGGTGTATGCGAGTGTGTGTTGATGTGTGTGGGTGATGTTCTGGGGTACACGAGGATCCATGTTTTGAAGGGTGATCAGGGTGAGAGCGTATGTGTTTTGGGGGGGGAGATCCCGGTGTGCCGGGTTGAATGAAGGTGTGAGTGCGACAGGCGGCAGAGTTGAAGCCCGCCAGACTCCCCAGCGCTGTGTGGGGAGCCAAGGGGAAGGGTGGGGTTGCCACCGTCTGCAGCAGGCGGGCCGACCTGAGGCGGCACGCGGACCATGAAACGAGCGCCAAGGGCGGTGAGACGTGGCTCCGCCAGATGGCAGTGCGACAACACCCACCTGCCACTCCCTCAGGAAGGCCAGGCCGGCGCTCGTCTTCTGCGCAAACGCCTGCAGTGCCTTGTTGGCCTGGCGCGACATTGAGTCGGTCCGCTCTGCCGCGTCGGGCCCTCCCTCGGCACTGCAGTGATGGATGCAGCGGGGGCGAAGGGCAGGCGTCATGGCGATCATCTCACTTGAAACCACCCGGCGGACGCCTGGCGAGGGGGAGGCCGGCGGGTCAGTTTCGGGGCCACAAGGGTTCGTTGGGGGCCCCGCTCACCCGCAGATGTCACCGTCGCGCCCAGTGATGTCACCGAACGCCGCCATCGCCGCCATGCCCTCCCCCAGCGCGCGCATGTCCTCGCAGAGACCCTCCATGCGGTCGACCACTGCCTCGGCCGCCGCGCCAGCGACTGTCAGGTGCTCCAGCAGGTGCCTGCAAAGGCAGGTATTTTGGGGAATAGGGGGCGACAATTAGGTGTGTCGGCCGGGGTGTTTGGGGCCAAGGGATGTGGGGAGCGTGCATGATATCAAATTGTTCAGCCGGTTTTGGGGGCTCGAAAGCAGCCGGCAAACGTCTTCCAGGTGCACGGAAGCTGCCAGGGGAAAGCAGGGGTGGTCGAAGCAGAGGTGGCTAAGGAGAGGCCCGTTCCAGCGGCGGGACGCGTGGGACGCGAGGCCACACACTCGCGGCCTGGCTGCGGCGCGTGCCCCTGTGAGCCCCACCTCAGCATGTCCTTTGCCTGCCTCAGCTCCATCTCCTGCGGCGACTGCGGCTGCTCGGGGGTGCGCGCCAGCATCCCCCGCAGCGAGTGCTTCGCGCGCATCGAGGTGAACGACAGCCCGACCATCCCACGGCCGAGCACCGACGGGCCGCTGCCGACCGCAAAGGCGCCGCTGCCGCCGCCGCCGCTGCTGCTGCTGGCGGCGCTCGTGAAGCTCCAGTCGCTGCGGCGGCCGCCGCCGGCGCTGCTGCAGGGAGAGGGGCAGGGCGCCGGGGTGTCCTCGCCCAACTCGAGGCCGGCCAGCAGCGCGCGGGCGCCCTCGGGCTGCGGCCGCCGCCGCAGCTCCTGCCAGCGCGCGCAGGTCGCGAGGTCGTCGGGGTGCAGCAGGAAGAGGCGCAGCTCTTCTGAGGAGCGGAGGGCGGGGTGGCCGACGATGGCGCGCAGGAACACCTGCGGTGCAGCGGGGCGCGCGGGCAGGGTGCGTGTTTGATATGATTTGTGGCCCATTGGCGCGTCTCGACCGCTGCGTGACGGTATATAGTGTCCCGCACCCTCGCATTTGGATGTCTATCCGGCTGATTGCCAGCAACCTCCCAGGTTCTGCTGCAGCAAAAAAGGGTTCCAAGCGGGATGCCAGTGACTTTCCACCGCGACCGCGGGGCGCAACCTGTCCATTTGGCCACACCTGGAGCTCCATCCGCCGCTCTTGGATGGACGCATGGCGCCGCGCCGCGCGCGACCCGGGCGCCGGCTTGCTCCTGACCGGGGAGGGCGGGAAGAAGAAGCCCCTGCAAGCCGCGTGCGGGCATGTGGTCGCATGTGTAAGGGCGTGGATCGGGCATTCGCTTCATGTGAAGTGTGCGGCAAAGAGTTGGCTGTTTCGGCACCTCTTCCTCCAGTGGTACCATGGGGCTGTGTGCATGCCAGGCCGCAACAGTGCGATCATCCGGGCCCTGCGGCTTGCGGGACGTGTCGCACCACCGCGCCGCACCTGTACTGCCGCCTCAGCAGCTTGTGCAGCTGGTCAAAGTCCGCCGCCCGCCTTGAGACCTGCGAGCGAGGGAGCAGCGGGGGGCGGGCGCTATAGGGCTTTTTCGTGTGGTGTGGACGCCCGCTGCACGCTGCCCGCGGATGCAATCGCACCCAGCCCGCCTTGCGGCCGCACAGGCGCCTGGCTGCGCCGCGAAGGGAGCCGCGCCGCGCTTGGCGTCGACCAACGCTTGGGGCCCCTCGCCTCATCAGGCCCAAACGCGAGGCGGCGGGGGATTACGAGAGATTACAAGATCACGCACCTCCCGGCCATCCACATACACAGGGAAGGCGAGGGAGGCGGCCGACGGCCGCACAGCATCACGATTGGGATCATCGACGCTAACCTGCGGGCGGCGTGCGGCAGCGGGCGTCAGGGGGAGGGGGTGCGTAGCTGGGGGTGATGCGTTGGCCGGGGTGACCCTACGGGCTGCGCACGCCCACTGCACGACACCAGCCGCCGCCCCCCGGTCGGCGCCCAAGCTGCTGCTTATAGACTCGCCCGGCCACGCACCCTCAAAGATCGTGCTCCAGGCTGGCTCGTGGTCGCAAGCCACCGCTCGCCGCTGAGCTTGTGCTGTAGGCGTGCGCCAGGAGAGCCATGTGCAGGGCTCAGGGGCGCGCTCGAGCCCAACGCCTGGAATGCGTGGCCTGGTGGCGCGAAGGGCCATGAGACATCAGCTGCCGACATTAGTGAGATGCGCTCAACAGGTACAACTGCGGACTCCTGGTCGAGCACGCGTATGTGGCGTGTCCGTCGGTGCGACGGACGTGCGGACGGGTGACCAGAGCTTAAGATATCAAGCGAAGCATGAGAAACGCAATTCAAGCTGCAAGTGCGGAGATGAGGCGAGGTTCCGCGCGTGATCGGAGGTCGGACCCCAAGCTGCGCACGGGCTGCAAAAGTATTACGTGCGAAAGGTTATAACTTTCAGGTTTAGACATCTGCGGCACAGCCTCCCACGTTACAAGCGCACGGGAAGGACGGAAGATGGCGTCACCGGCACAATTGCTGTTGGAGGTGCAAACTGCTGTGCGCCAGAGCATGCATTGCAGCAAGCACGCAGGCAGGGCAAGGACGCTGTTTATGCATGGCAATGTATGGGAGGCCGTGCCTTTCACCGCGTGATGCAGCGACGACGGTTGAGGTTGGTGGGAGTGCGGTTGCGCACGGGTGGGTGACAAGAGCGTCCACCAGCGCCGTGCGGTACCTGAGGACGCTGCCGCAGGCGGCAGCACAGGACGAGCCCGGCAGCAGCTTGAATGGCAGGTGAAACCACGATCCGCCACATCGCAGGCATGTCGCCCTGTGCAACCCTGGGCCCCACTACTTACGCTGGGGCCCCGCTTTGGCGCCCACATCGCAGCATATCAGCATACCGAGCGCTCGGCTTCCGGCCGCCGCAGCCGGTGAATTCCATCCATATAAATGCATTGGGATTGAGGCATACGGCACATGCTTCAAGCATACCTGTGAAATTGTGATGAAATCAGATAAAGCTGCTGCCTAGAGCTTCGCAATGCCAACAGAGCGTTCACCACGCCAACACACGGGACAACCGCCTTCATCGCCGCATCCCCGAGATTGAGCAGAATTCTTCAATCATACTGGGTCCCACACTGCCCGGGATCATCGTCACTCGGCCGCCGCCCCACCACCGCCCACTCCCAAGGACCCCCAGACCTCGGCCACCGCGGCCGCCAGCTGGGCCTGCACCCTCGAAAAGTGCGCCAGGGCCGTCCCAAAGTCTTCGGCCCTCTCGAGGTTGAGGCGCTCCAGCTCTGACAGGTTGCGGCTCTTGAGCAGCTCGTAGTGCGCCTGGGCAGCCTCAATTTGCTCCTGCGGCGGCCGTGGTTACAGCGGTCGCGCGTCGAGGCGGGTGGAGTGTATTGCTGTTTTTGTGGAAAGACGAGCCGTTTGCAGAGGGACGGACAAAGGAAGGAAGTAGGGCATGCGGAGGACGCGAAGGCGCCGCAGCTGGGATGCACGCGAGCCACGGGCCGCAGCGGCTGCGGGGCCCGGCAGAAGCGAGCACGCCGTCTGCAAGCCGGCGCCTTGCGCGCCGCCAACCGCCGCGCCGCCGCACCGCTGCGCCGCCGCGCCGCGCCCCCGCACCTGCAGCTGCGTGACAGCCCCGGCCAGCTGCGCCGCCTTCTTCTCCTGCGCGCCCGCCTGCAGCTGCGTCACCCCGGATTGGAGCTGCGACACCGCGCCCCGCAGCTGCGCCGCCACCTGGTCCTGCCGGCCCTGCGGCGGCGACCCCGGCAGCAGCCCCGGCCAGCCCCGCTCCGCGCCGTACGGCTGATGCTGCTGCTGCTGCGACGAGTGCGCCGCCCCCGCCGCCGCCGCGTGCTGCTGCGCCCTGGTGAGCGCGGCGTCCTTGTCGGCGAGCTCCTCCCGCAGCAGCTCCACCACGGCCAGGGCCGCCTCGCGCTCCTCCAGGGCAGAGATGGCCTCGGGGACCAACACCTGGGAGGGGGGGGGGACGGGTGTGTACGGCGAAGCGACAATCCGTTCAGGTATAAACTCAAGATGTTGTGGGGTGTCATGGGGTTGCTGCTGCAATGTGCTGTTGACGCAATACCTTGGGGAAGCTTGTTTGAAGCTTGCATATAACTATGCATCTGCCTGCCCTTGGGATGCCCTGGCCAGCCCCGCGGAGGCGGCGCCTCACGTGGTAGTCATGGAGGAAGACCAGGCTGGCCGCGGTGCGCAGGGCAAACGTCTTCATGACGCCGTGCGCGTGACCCGTGGCGGTCCCGACCCGCTGCAGGTCGGCCGCCCGCCGCGTCGCCGCGTGGCCGCTGCGGCGGCGTGAAGGGGCGCGGAGGGGAGCGGGGAAAGGCGGGTGGGGCTGAAGGGGCCGCAGGGGGGCATTCAGGGACGGGGCACGGGGCTTGGGATGTTTCTCATAACACATAGCCGACCGCAGGCTGGCACGACTTGCGTATCGACGCAAGCCACGGGGTTTGAGAACCTTGCACTGCATGTATGCAACTCAGAACGCGCGTGCACACCCGGACACACACACACACACACACACACACATGCACACACATGCATTGTGGCAAACATACCCACACGCACGCAGCCCACCACGGCGTGTACTGCCCGCTGATGCTGGAGCTGGCCTCCTCGAAGCGCGCCATCGCGCCAAAGCCCTTCCCCAGCGCCCCGACGTCCTCGCAGAGTGCCTCCATGTTGCTGACCAGGGACCGCGCCGTGGCTGAGGCGTTTGACAGGTGCACCATGAGCTCCCTGTGGGGCGAACAAGGGACACGCGCGTGCATGTGTGTGCGTAGTGAGTGGGTGAGAGAGAGTGTGTGTGTGTGTGCGCGTGTATGTGTTTGTGTGAGGGTGTGTGTGCGCGTGCGTGTGTGTGTGCGTGCGTGCGCGTGCGTGCGTGCGTGCGTGTGTGTGTGTGTGTGTGTGTGTGTGTGTGTGCGCGCGTTTACGATATACGATGGAAATGGATCCACAGGTGGGGCGGGGGCGCGCATTCCAAGAGTCTTGTGACTGGCACAGGGAAATGGTGGCCAGCAAAGACTCATGCGAACAAGAGGCAGGTGGGTCCCTCCATGCCCGTGGCTGGCGCGGCCCCAACAGCGGGCGCTGCTGCACGGGGACCTGGCACGCCTTGACCGCCCCTGCAGCCCCTGGCTGCGACCCTCGGCAGCGCGAAAGCACCATGCGGGCACCCGAACTCAGGCTCACTTGAAATGCTCCTTCGCCTGCCGCAGCTGCGCCTCATCCGGCGGCAGCGCGGCCTGCGGCCGCCGGGTCTTCTGAGCCACCACGCCCATCAGGCTCTGCTTCACCCGCAACATCCTGAACGACAGCCCACCCCCGCCGCCGCCGCCGCCACCGCCGGCGGCCGCAGCCCCGTTGGCGGACGGCCCGCCGCCGCCGCCGCCGCCGCCCAGGCCGCCGCTGAGGGACCGGTCGAGCGCCCTCTCCGCGTTGCCCTCCCTCCCGAGCCCCGAGAGGGCCGCCCTCAGCGCGTCGCCCGCGGGGTGCTGCAGCATCTGCTGCCAGCGGGCGCAGGCTGAGAGGTCGTCCGGGTGCGACAGGAAGAGCCGCAGCTCCTCGCAGGCCCGCAGCACCGGGTGGCCTGAGATCGTGCGCATGTACGCCTGCGGCGCACCAGGGGTTTGTGGAACGCGCGACACAGGCGTGTTTCCAGGGCAGCAGCATTGGGGCCTGGAGAGAGGCGCATGAAGCCATGCGTGAGACCGACAGCACAAGCCGAGTGGCGGCGTCGGCCGCGGCGGCCCCCGAGCGCACCTGCAGGTCGACGCGCCGCACTTTCACGAGGTTGTCGGTCCACCCGAGCCTGGACTCGAAAAAAGCCTTCTCAGGGAGCGGCGGGAAGAAGAAGCCCCTGCGCGGCGCGGCGCGGCGCGGCGTGCGCGCCGAGGGGTGCACATCGATAGGTATTAAGCGTCGGCCTCGCAGAGCGCTGGAAGGCAAGTGCATGCAACGCAGAACCCGTTATTGGCACGTGGCGGAGACACTTAGAAACCAAGGGGACGGGCGGCAGCGTGGATCTAGCTCTTGAGCTGCACAGCTCGCTGTCTCCCCTGGTTCCGCATCAGGAGGCCGCCAATCAGGCGCCTACCTGTTGCGCTCCTTCAGGACCTTGTGCAGCTGGTCAAAGTCAGTGAACCGCCGCCGCACCTCCACAACCTTTCCGGGCTGCAAAGGGGATGCAGAGTGCAGCCCAGCGGGCGGTGCGGGTCGAACAGAGAGGCTCCGAGAGCCGCCGCTGGCCGCTGCTGCTTGGCAACGCCCCAGCCGCACCGCCCTGCCGCACCCTGCACCGCCGCTGCGCGCAGCTGCTGCCATGGGAGAGGGAGGTGGTGTGCTTGGAAGCGCGCGGCGCGACCCACCTGCTCCGGCGACTCGGTTCGGACGAGGTAAGTGAGGAACGCCCCCACGGGGACACCCATGCGCGACACCTCCACCCGCTCAGGGTCCCTGATGCTGATCTGGCATCACGGCGGGGCGGCGACCCAGGGGGCGAGCGGGGTTGATACGGTAGCTGTGCTGCCACAGGCTTGCAGCGGGCAGCGCTGGATGGCGGAGGCAGCACAGCGAGGCCGCGGCCCGCTGTGGACTGAGGGCCGCGATGGGTCAACAGGCGGGTGGACTTGGGCGCTGGCCGCCCCGTACCTTGAGGGGTGGCCCCGCCTGGCTGGCGCTGGCCTGCAGCAGCTCGTCCAGCAGCGCCGCGCCGTCCAAAGGCGCGCCTGCGCCGCCGCCGTCCGACGCGGGCGCGGGCGGCGCTGTGGCGGGGCCCGGCGCCGGGTGTTCAGGCAGCGCCGAGGCGCCGCCGCCGCTCGGCGACGCCGCAGGCGCCACGTCGGTGAAGCTCGGGGACGGCGAGTCGTCCAATGGGATGTTGGCCATGGCCAGCGCCGACAGCAAGGACGGCTGGTCGCTGCTGTATGCCGCGGCGACGTGCGCCGCGAACCGGGCTGCGGGATCGGGCGCGGCGTCGTCGCCAGCGGGGGCCGCGCCGGGTGGGGCGTGACCGGCGCCAAGGGGTGACACGGGCTGCCCGCTGGGAGCGCTGACAGGGAGAGTGGGCGTCAGGCCTGCCGCCAGGTCGCTGAAAGGGTCGTCTTCATGCGGCATCGCGGTCGACGCCGACGGGTGCGTGCGCGGGTACGTATATATGCGGCCTCGCGCCGTGCGGCTGACTATGAGATATGTGTATCTGGCCCAATTGACCGTACTCAGGCCAACGAGCGCGACTCTGGGGGCCGTTGAAGGTCAGGTCTACCGTACTCGCTCGTCGATGCTGTCTGTCGAGGTTAGGAGGTGAGGTGGGATGTGCAGATGACGCGCCACAATAAGGAAGCTTGGTATGCTGTGCAACCTTCAGCGACAACTCTCAACTGGCGTGTCTTGCATCAAGAGCCAGATCAACAGCTGGGGTACCACGCATCGCTGTGAAGAATATATGAATAATGGTTTTACAATTATCTTCATGTCCGTTCTACCTTGCAACAAAAGAGTGCTCTATCTATAGCCATTGTGCTCAGACAGCGTCAGCAGATCGACCCCCGCGTCCTTTCGTGCCACGTTTAACGACTCAAACGGTCCAAGAAGGCTGCTCATCGCCGCAGTAGCAGCAAGCAGCGCAACGCTTACTGCTGGGCAGGGTGGGGGCGCGGGGCGCAAGCAGCTGCTGCAGCAGGAGCAGCAATGGCGTCGGCAGCCGCGCCGACCACTCTCGGGGACCTGACGACAGAGTACACCCGCGGCAACCCCAACGATGTCGACACCCGCGGGCCGACGCTGGTGGAGAGGCACAACGAGCGCATGCAGCAGGAGAAGGAGAACATGGCGATTGAAAAGGTGGGCTGCCCTCGAGTGCCCCACTCGGTTTGCGCCTGCCGCCCTTTGCACGTCGCCCCAACCCATGCGCACCCTGCACCACCGCGACCTTCAGGCGCTTCCGGATGCCTTGTCTGCACCGGCAACCTCTCCTTTCTCGATCGCCGGCTGCGCCTCCACGCTGCCGCTCTTCCTCCTGCGCCTGCTGCGCCGCAACACATGCTGCCCCCGCAGCTCTCTGCCCTCATGCCGGCGCTGGGCTCGAAGCTGCGCGCTTTCGCGCTGGCCAAGACGGACTGGAACGTGGACGCAGCGGTCGAGCTGCTGCGCTCATTTCAAGTGGCTGAGCTGGATAAGCTGAACGCAATAACCAAGGTGCCCGCCCCCGCCCCGCGCTCCCGCCGCCTCTTGCCGCGCCGCCGGCTTGGCAGCTCGACGGGCAGGGCTCACTCCGCGGCGTGCCCCCTGCTGGCCACCCTGCTGCTGAGGCGGGCCGACCCTAGCTTTTTCTTGCGACCCTCGCGCCGCGTTGCTGGCCACGCATCGCATGTGGGCGGACGGCCCGCCTGCAGGCCGGCTGCGTAACAAAGACACACACACACACATAAGAGAGAGAGAGAGAGAGAGAGAGTGAGAGAGAGAGAGGGAGGGAGGTGTGTGTGCGCATTCACCACGCCGCTTGTGCGGGCAATCCCTCCTGCAACAACCATCACTCCTGCAACAACCGCGCGTGCCCGCCTGCGCCGCGCAGAAGCGCAAGCGCATACAGGAGTTGGTGGAGGACGCCGGGGAAGGCGCCAAGGCGGCCGGCGGCGGCGGGGGCGGCGGCAGCAGCGGCAGCGGCAGCGGCGACGACAGCAGCGGCAGCGGGTCGGGGTCCGACGACTCGTCAGGATCGGATGAGGAGCGGCGCCGCAAGGTGCGTCGCGCTGGGAATGGGGCTGCGAACGCTGACCCACAGTTTGTCGATTGGGGGGTGGGTACACCCGGGGCCGTGTGCGTGTCCAGTTGCACGGCTTGTTGCTGGAAATCCGGGGTGGTGGGGAGGCAACAATCAACGGCGCACCTGACGTGTATATTAACGGTCTTCTGTCTCCCTTGTGTGTGCCCTGCAGCGCAAGAAGGGCAGCAGCGACGGCAAGCGGCGCTCCTCGAAGGATGACCGGAAGCGCGGCAGCAAAGACAAGAAGCGGAAAAAAGAGAAGCGGTCAAAGGATAAGAAAGCCAAGAAGGAGAAGAGGGACAAGCGGCCCAGGAGCCGGGAGCGCGACAGCGCGGCGCGGGCCAAGGCGAACACGACGGTGGGCGGGCGCCCCTGTCGACGGGCGGGCGCCCGGGAATGATGGGAGCATCTGCAGTGCAGCAGGCGGCCGCCGGAGCGCGGGGTGGCGGGTGGTGCTGAGTTCGGCAGCTGAGCTGCGTGGCATCACGTCTCTGCAGCCCGGGCTGCAACTGCCGTGCCTCTGCATGACTCCTCATGTTTTGTCAGCACATTTCAGAGATCCGCTCTGCAACACAACACAAAAACAAACACGCACACACACATACACACACCTGCGCACGCGCACCCACAAACACGCGCACGCCCAATCACACACCGCGCCCCACCGCCCCACCAGGAGTTCGGCAAGTTTGGCGTCATCCGCGAGTCGGACGCCGACCGCAAGCGCAGCGAGTTCATGGCGTGGGCGCTGGATGTGAAGAAGCTGGACGTGGAGGCGCTGGCCAAGTGGGAGGAGAAGGAGCTGTTCAAGGAGTTTGTGGAGGAGTTCAACACGGGGTCGCTGCCGGACAGGTGGGTGGGTGCGCGCGCGCGCGCGTGTGTGTGTGTGTGTGTGTGTGTGTGTGTGTGTGTGTGCGTGTGCACGCGCGAGCACCCGTGAGCAAGCGCGGTGATTGTTGTTGAGGCGTGAGGAGCTTGAATAAGCGCAGGGCGTTTGGAGCGGGGCAGGTGGCGACAGAGAAACTTCGCCGCTCTGAGCCACACTCGCAGCCCCATTCGCGCTTGTGACGACCCCTACACGCCTCCACTCCCCAGTCTCGAGCACACAACACACGCATACGTACGCATGTGTGCATGTGTGCACTTGCGCGCCCTCGTCGTCCCCCCTCAACACTCAGCCACAGCCACAGCCCCCACTTGAAGCGACCTCACCCCACCAAACTCGCCCCACCCCCTGTCTCCCCAGGAAGT